CCCTTCTGCTTTCCAGAGCGTGTGGCTGGAGTGGGCGGTAGGGGAAACTAGAGTGAGTGTTACGTAGCGTAATATATAACCATAGTATGCCGTTCATTCATTCATAGGAACTAAACAAACTCGGGTCAGTGTGGAAAGCGCAGGCTGAAAACTTCCCTTTCCCAAAGGCTTCTCTGTCTAAATGTTGTAGCGATGTCCATGCGCCTCAGGAAATCCCCGGAAGCGTTTAGTGATTTACCTGCTCTGTTCTCCTTAGGCATTACGCGAGGAAGGAATTCCGGCTTGGAGGCAGGGAGGCAACGCCTTTAGGAACTGATATGAGGCTGTCTAGTGGTGTGGCTTGAGCACAGATGGGGGATGAGGCTGTAACAAGGGCAGGGTGATGGAGCAACGTCCCCAGATGTCCCCTGAGTGATGCCAAGTGGAGCAAACATGCTCAATCCTCCCCAGCTGCTGTTGTACGGGTGGTGGGGCTGCGGTGGCTGTGTCTGCTCCGGGCTGCACTCAGGGAGATGCTGGGAGAGAGGATGTGCATGTTCGTATGCTGAGTACTAAAAGATCTTGCTACAGGCGTGACTGGGACAGTTAACAGAGAGGGAGCTTCTCTTTCGGACCCTGAGCCCTTCCTAAGAAGGTGGAAGACCGTTCTGAGCTTCTTGTTGTGTTCCCTCAACAGGTCCTGCACCTGAAATTCAGTTCTGAAATTCAGTTCCTCGTGTTCCTGTTCTGACTGGAGCTCTGTCTCAGCTGCTGTTATGAAAGGAGGGAGGGTGTCTCTGTCAGCGCCGTGTTTTGGTTTATAAGCGTGTTTTTGAAGCTCGCGTCCTAATCAGCTGCGCTTTCTGTGCGTGGGAAACCACGCGGTGATGCAAAGCGCGGCGACTGCTTTCCTTCTGGATGAAGCACAACTGGCAGATGCGCTCTGGGAGCGCGGCTAATGCACTCCTGTAGCTGAAGGGCATTCAGCCGGGGGCCGGACTAGAGCCTGTCCACAACACCCACACTGTATGTGTTTCAGGGGGGTTTGGGTCCTTGGCACAGTGTTGTCATCTGCAGAAGTGTTCCCATTGCCAGTGTTACTCACTAACGTAGCGAGAGAAGGGACGAAAGTAACTTTATTATGTAAAAGATTATCTTTTTTCCCCTTCAGATGTGAATTTAGCAGATAAATACTTGTATTTAAAGGATGTGGTTGATGCAGAGATCTTTTGGTATGGGGATGAGTGGTTTTGGAAGGAGATACAGACTTCTAGTATCTGCTCTGTTCCAAGACCATTTTTTTGCTTACGGGTAAAGAGAAGTGTGAAATTAGGTGTTCTACGTCTGTTTGTGGTACCATTGTAAAGCCCTACATTTCATTTCTTATAATTGCTTTAATCAGGAGAGAATATCCTAGATTGAAAGAAGCTAAGTTTTTTAAACTCTTTTTAACAGCGTTTTTTGTAGGGTCTGCAACGGGGCTGTGCATCACTTTTGCTGGTATTACCACGGCTCTGTACCTGTGCTGAATGTACCGTCAGTACTGTGATAGTTTTTCTGTGTGCAGGCTCGCATTTACTCAGCTTTGCACCAAGCCGGGGAAAAGATTGATGGCTGCCAGGTGAGACAAGGAGGAAATAGTATTTGTGTAATACGGCGATTAAAATAATAACGAAGGCAGCAGGACTGAATGTACCTTTGAGCTTCTAGACGGGTATGCCAACTTCTCATCAAACTGCGATGAGGTGCTCTCCCAGACTGATCTGTGCAAAGCTGCTAAAAACAGGGAGGACAGGAGTGTTGGAAAACAACAAATAGAGGCTGATATGCCTCATGGCTCTTAGCAGCAGTCAATCACGTTCTAAAAGGAAAGATTTTGGTTATACGGTACTCTTCCCTTCTCCCTGATACAGTAAAAGTGATGGTTTGTAGTGGGAACTTCAGTGGTTCTGCAAATCGTTGGAGGTTTTTGGTTGGTTTTGCTTCCAGGACCTGATTTTGCAACTGTTAGGCGGCAAAGTACTCTAGCCTGAAACCTTTCAGAGCAAGGCACCTGAGCACCCAAGTTTGCAAACACAGATGTGTGTGTACCTTTTTTTCCTTCAAAAAGCAGATGATGAGCAACTTCTGCCTTGGGATGTGATACTCACCTTGCTGTTTTCCTGTTGCTCCTGATCAGCACTCGGTATCCGTCCCGCAACTGGAGAGAAGCAGTGCGATTTTCATAAGCAGTGTCAGATCTTTGCATGCTCTGCAAAGGACGTATCTCCCTCTCTGATCAAAGGGAACGCAATTAGAGCAGGTGCCGTAGGAAACCACAATCCATTTTCTCAGCAGTATAAAGTCTCTGAGGCAGGGGGAGCAGTTTTTACTTCTGGCATGAAACGCTCAGGGAAAGTCTTTGCTGTTACAGTTTTGCTTTGGGCTCATTCATTCAGAGCTGCCTCGTGGCTGCAGTCTAAAATTTGTTGTATTTGTGATGGTGAAAAAGGGCCGTTTGAGAACCCAGAGAGTACAGCGGGCCTGTGCTGGTCATAGATACGGGTAGAGGGTGGAGGTAGGAAGGAAACTGCTTCATGCCACACATCTGCCGCGTGCGGCCCCACTTCAGTGCAGCTATCTTTAATCTGAACTCTCTTAGCAGGCCTGAATTTAGAGTAAGAAAATACAAGAAATAACCCCAAAAGACGGCAATGTAATTAGCATCTTAGGAATTGTGAGGAACAGCTGCCGGCCGTGTGTGTTCGACTTTGTACCTCTTAGCATGATGAAACCTGAGATGATCAGAGAATGAAGAAATGAGCTGGGGCTTTCCCTGCAAATTAAGTAATATATTTCTCTGTTATCTATTGTGATTAGTAAGGTAACTCTGCATTAGTAATAGTTATATTTCCTTTACCTCCTTTATACGTAAGAAAATGGAATAATACCCAGTTCTTTTATAGATTAAGAGAATTTAAGGTAAAGCATTTGTGCTGAGATGGTGGTCCCTCTGCCCTGAACCAGTGTGCAGGTAGACATTCCCTATTGTGTATGTCCCCAAACCTTCTTTGATACCTGGTCTCTGCACTTAGAAAGATAATCTTCTCTACCTTGACCTAACAGGCTGGCCACCTATTAACAGTTTTGGAAGAGGTGTTCTTGGAAGGAGCGTTCTAGCTTTAAGTTTACACACTTGCTGTTTCGTCTTGCATTCCATCTTACAATCATAAGTTCCATCCATCACATCTTAGCGTGCTACACGCACATCCCATGCTCTAGCTCTATTTCATCTTTATTTACTCGTTGCATTGCGTGGTTGCAGAGAAAAAGAATTTTACTTAAAATTCGAACCATGGGAGGCTGTTTGCGTTGAGACGCTTTCCTTGAGCTCTCGTTCTGGGAGTTAGTGTCAAGGCTGGGTCTACGTGCGAAGGCCTTGTGTTGTAGTTATCCCAGCAAGTCCCAGTGCTGGGAAGAGGTTGGGTCTGTGGGAGCTGCCTTCTCGGCAGGCTGCATTCCCCTGCCCTGCCTGGGATGGGCGGTGGGAGACTTGCGGACCTGTGCAGGCTGCAGGGAGAGGCTCTTCGACCGCTGCAGAGGGGGGTAAGTTAGGCTCTCTGAGCTCCCCCCATGGTTTATACTGGCTCCCTGAAAAAAAAACAAAAATACAGCCACTCTCAGACTAAAAAGGAAAAAAATGTAAAAAGGATGTAAAAAGGAAAAGCGCAGAGGCTTGCTCTCTCTTGCTGTTGGGCTGCGTGTGTAGGCACAGTACGCTTCCCACCTCACTCCAGATCTCCACCAGTATTGTTCTTGTGAGCGCTGACGTCCCAAAATGGTATCTGCTGCATGTATCTTTACAAAGGAAGCCTTGACTTAACGTCATTTGACAATTGAATCTTTTACCGAGACAAGATGTGGTGGCTGAGGCGCGGTTACACGTCAGTGCATGTTATCTGCCAGAGTCTGGGGACGGCAGGCACGGTCAGCCCGCTCCCTGCAGGGATGGACTCGGAGGGTCTTCCCACTTCTTACCTTTGCATCTTTAATCTGACAGAACCTTACAGTGCAAGATGAAATGAATTGGAGGGTTTTTTTCCCCAACATGTTTTGAAGCACAGTTATTTGATTGAAAAGATACAGCCCCCTCCTGAGTTTGTGAGGGGTAGCCGAGGAATTGTATTAAAAATAAGCCCTCATTGCTCAGAAATCCCTTGTGCTTCCTCCCAGAGCCCCACAGCTGGAGAGCAGGTATAATCTTTTAGATTATGGGTGGGTGAATAAGATTACTGTCCCAGGGAGAATTGCTGTAAAATTTATTTCATTTAGGTCACGGAACAAAGATTGTCATGTGAGAAGATTTGAGCAAAACTTAACCGTGGCCTGGCCTTCCTGGGGGCTAGACGGGCAGTGCTGAGGCTGGCTGCGAGATGGGAGCACTTGTCTTCTGCTCGGCTGTTCACAGAGAGTCGTAGGAAACCCGTCCAAGTCGCTCGTTACCTCGTGCCCTTCCAGTGTGGGTAAGGGAAACGGCTCCTCGCCCTCTGCTAATAGCATCCCTGAAATGGACTGCACTTTCCCTTCCGGAAAGCATTTGTCCAGCCTGTAAGTCTTTGTGATACTGGGATGCGAATGCTGTAGAGGAACAAATAAAGGCAAAGATCAGGGCGTAAGCGGGGAGCAGTTTGTGTCCTGGCAGCCGTGCACGGCCGAGCAGGTGTTGCGTCGAGAGGCTGGTGCCAGGAAGCACCACCAACTTCGCCTGATTCAACCAGAGCTAAATTTGCCGCCCAGGAGCAGAGGGAGGGTCGACTGCTTTTTATGGCAGTACCATGTGTTTGCAGAGCTTTTAAAAATAAAGATTGGCTAATAAAGATTGTTCTGGATTGACTTGCTCATATCTCCAAGACCCAGAACATCTGCTCTCCGTGTTTTCTCTCCTTCCCTTCTGGGTTGTTTTGATGTGTTTGGGTTTTTGTTTTTTTTTTCAAATGGCCATGACTCAGCCCTTCCCTGCTGCTCTCCGAGTTTCCTGGTTTCTGAATAGGCTATTCTTGGGACAGCGGTTCCTGACAGATAGGAACAAGGGGAGTGTTGTGTTGTTTTGGTTTTTTTTTTTTTTCCTCCTCTGGCCTGTCTTAATGCTCTGCTTCCCTCTAATTTTTTCCTTGTTCCCGAATTACTGAATCATCCTAAATCGTTGGATGCCATCTGGGACGTGTTCTTGCCCTTGTACCAAAGGAGCCCTCTCAGGCATGATCCAGGCTGTGATCCTCACACAGCACCAGCTTTTCTTTCGCAGCAGGATGACGGTGACACTCCTAAGAGCATGGAGGGTTATCCTGCTACAGCTGTGTCTGTTGTAATGCTTTTAAACCCCTTGTTTTAGCCCCTCTAATTCCAAGGGACAGCGCTTGGAATGCTCCAGTGATCTACCTTGCAAGGGGGAGATCCAGGTGAGGACCACTTCTTCATGCCATGTCCGTATGATGCAGGTGATACGGTGACTCTCATTGCAGAGCTAAGAGACTGCGCAGTCTGGTTCAAATGCCTAAGCGTGACTTTGGATGCATGCTGCCTCTGTGCATGCTTTCACAAGTAAGGGGAAAATACAAACCAGAATTTAAAAACAATGAAAAAAAGCTTTCTGATTGCTTAATTAGTTATTGGCCCCCCACGGATGGCAGAGGCTGGAAATCTGAAGGATGCTCTCGCTCTGAAACGCTTTGCGATGCAGTTACACAGCTTCTTAACACGGAGGGCTTTTGAATTTCTTCTGAAGTTTATTCCTCTGTGGTGTGGGCTGGGGAAAGTCACCTTCCAGTGGCAGGTAGTACACCCCGGGCCGGGCATGCTGGCCACCACTCTTGCTATGCAGATGGGCGGTTGGAAGTGAACGTGGTGTCTTAATACTAAATAATCTTTCCTGGGTTTTAGTTTTGTTAAGAGCACAGCTCTTTTTGTCAAGACCCAGTTGTATGCGAGGGGGAAGTAGCCTGAGCTGTTGTATATTTTGCCTTGAAAACACAGTTGGCTTTTTAAAAAAACCAGAGGCACTCTATGTTTTCTCAAAGTCTCTGGTTACCAAGAGAAATTTCTCAGTCAAAAGTACTAGAGGACTCAAAACACAAGGGTAGTGTTCTTCTTTAGCATCCCTCCGCGTTTTTGGATATGCTGTATTGTTGTTAAGCCAACCAAGATAAAAGCTTTTCTGTGCGAGGAGGCTTTGAGAACATTCACTGCCGGATTAAATTAGCCTTTCTGAGAATAAATTAGTCGTCGTGATGTAGGCAGCCCTGTGCACTACAGCCATAAAATCCGCGCGTGCTAGTACCCACAGCAGGTAACTTAAACGATAGATGTGATAGCTGTGTTCGGGGTAGTGCTGTTAACTTGAGATTAGATTTCTGGCTGGTGATGAATGAAAATCAGCCCGTTGAATTTTATTGATGATTTCTCCAAATAAGAAGCAGGCCACCCTTTTAAGAGAGGGAAAGGAACCCCTGGGGTTCAGCGCAGCTTCATTTTGGGAGGAAATTGTGGACTAAAGCCAACGCTGTACCCCTGCTGCAGTGACTCTCCAGCCTGGGATGCTTTTGAGGTCCTCAGGGGTCCCAGTCACCCAACACGTGGCAGAAGGGGAGTGTTGGAGCCTTGCCTTAGAGAGGAGGACAAAGACTGGAACACAGAGTGGAGGAAGGCAGTCGTGATGGGATTTCCATGCTGCTGCCGACTCCTTTGGGCTTGCATTTTTAACTGACCACTGGATAAATAGCTGCTGCTAGTGTGTGCGTGCTGCCCTTTTCTTAAAGGTGTGTTCAGTTTGTCTTCTAATTAACTCAGCGCCTTTATTCTGCTCTATGGTATATAAGGAAGTGCTCGCAGGAGGCGTGGGTATGTGCTGAAGGCTCAGCTTGCCTTTCCCACCTGCTCTGCTGTGACCATTCAGCTCCTCCAAAATCTTAACGTAGTCTTTGAGCAGGAGAGTGAAGCTGGGACTAGAGACCATTTCCGTTGCCGTTAAATATCAACTCTTCCCCTGGGCTTGTTGTAGGTCTTCCACAGAGTTGTCATCTGGAGCATATTTGCCTTTTGGGAATGGAGGTTCCCCCAAAGTTCGTGGCTTCAAGTTACAGGTGTTGTTATTTTAGCCTTTCAGGCTCCCTCTTGGGTGCCACGATTCAGGATGCATTAGCGCAGCGGGAGCTCAGTTTTGAGCTGGCTGCTGGGCTATTCTGATGAGAGAGAAAACAGTTCCCAGCTTGTTTAGTGTTGTAGCTGTGGGAGCTGCTCTGTCTTCATCAGGCTCAGGAGGGGATTTCAGTCCTGAATCCTCCAGAGCAGCTGACCTATTTGCCTGCCCTGAGGGCATCTTGGTTTTATGTGCTTGAATTTTCACCAGTCTCATCCCCTGCTGTGAGAGCAGTGACCCAGCCTTAGGACTGTTCGAAACCCTCTGACCAGCGATGTTTTTAATTTAACAGTAAAGCAGTGAGGTGTTGCCTTGACAGAGAGGCAGAGAAAGGGTTTAGAAAAGCTTAGGACAGGGACTTGAGGAGGTGCGTTGCGGCGTATTGGGGATGCTTTGAATCCAGCTGCTCTATCTAGATTTCCAGCGAGAGGTCTTCTGCTTGCTTTGGTCTGCAGTTCTGGAGTTGGTGCGGCTCGTATCCAGGTGATGTCCCACGTGTGCCAAAACTAGGATGGTGCCTGGAGCTGTGGCCTGGAGAGGCATGAGGACATCATCTCTCTTCCTTCACCCTTGTTTTCAAAGGGAATACAGCTCTGCGTGCCCGATTGCGGATCTTGCTGAACTTGGCTAGCTGATTTGTATCTCGGTCAATGTTCTTGTCAGATCTGCTTACATTTAAGTGAGCCAGGCTAACGATGGGGCTTTGCATGTCTTCTTTGTCTCCCCTTGCAGGACTGCTGTGCGTTGCCTCCGAGCAAGCAGTAGTGGCAAATTAGGTTCATGGGAGAAGCAGCTTTTGGCATGATCTGAGGGGCAGATATGTAGCAGCTTGTTACATGGCTTCGTTCAGCAGATAGCAACGGAGTTTTAGGGAAGGGGTTACGAAGGAGTTGGCAGGAACTTGGTGCTGCAAACTGAAACCAAAGTCATGAAATGCTTTGGAGTAAAAATGACTTCCCTGGTCCGGGAAGTCAGTGCAGACTAGCCAAGTCTGGCTGGAACTGGAGGTAGAAATGGGACCGGCAGGAGCTGCACGTGACTCGGGGGTGCGTCCCAGTGCTCCCTCTGAGCCACTGTGGTGCTGCTGGAGATAACCCAGCACTGGGCACACTCGGTGGCTGTTGATTAGCCCAGGGAGTTTCCCCCTCTGTGAGCTGGGACATTGTCATCTGTCTTTGAGGAGCCCAGATGAGCTGGGCTTGGGAGCAGGGGAGTGCAGGGTACTCTCCTCCTGTCAAACTGCCATGGGGGGAGCGAGCCCCACGCTAGCAGGGCCCTGGGCCACCCCGAGAGAGGTCCTGGTCTGGAAACGGGAAGGTCTGGTCACGCCGTGAGAGCAAGAAGGTGAGTGTGATAACATGAGTGGCCTCAGCACGGAGGAGCTCCTCCAGGGCACATGTCTCTGGACGTGCATGGGTCCTCCTTGTTGGCAGTAGGACTCGGGAGGGATCTCGGACCTTACAAACACACTCCTGCTTAACCCCAAACCACGCTTCTTTGCAAAGTGTGAGCCGTGGCCTTAAATAAAATTGAGTGACATAGAGCATTTCTCACTGGTCCTCAGAAAAAAAAAAAAAGCAAGGTGACACTGCACCTGTTAAATCTAAATGTCAGCAGCTTCTCTGGCGCCAAGGCAGGGAGGGGTATCTGTGAGGGTAGAAAATACTAATGTTGTTGGAGGCTGGAGTCCTATAGCAAGCTGGTGCCATGCCTCAGATAAACATCAGTACCGTGACATATGTTTTGTACATGGAAAATGGATCTGGAATCACCACCAATGTATTCAAAATTATTTCATTGTGTTGCAAAATCTGCAAGGGAATTCTGAATAGGCTCTTGGGCTGTGATTAATTCTGAGACTGAAATGCAGTTACATCTCCACAAAAGCGCTGATCCTCTAATTTCCTCCTCCCTTGGAGCTTACTGTGTTATTTCATGGAAGTCACACATCTAATCAGTTTGATTCAGCAATGATGTAGCTGTATTACTTGACTTTCTCTCAAAAAATCCTATAGAATGAGGGAGTAATGAAAAAATGGGGTGCATAAAGGAATAAAATATTTTTAGTATAGTTTTGGGAAGGAAATCTATAAAATCCTGAGTTGTGCTGTGAGACGTAGCGGGTAATCATCCTGTATTCATCTTCTCTGTGTGAGAGCTGGGAGGTGCCATTGAAATGGGCAGGCAGCAGACTGTGACAGTAGGAGACACTTCTTCGTGTGGCTAACCAAAGAGCAGAACTTGCCACTGCCGTCTGTGGCAGAGCTCAGCGAGCTGGTGGGCTATAAAGGAATTAAGGTGGTCCATGGAGAAACTCCAGGCTGCCTAATCCCTAAAACCCTGAGTGTTGGGGGCGGGAGGGCCTTCTGCCTTCGCTTGCTTCCTGACTCGTCCTAAGTGTCTGTTATGGGCTGCCACCAGAGGTGAGCTACGGAGCTGTGACTGTCTTTAATGCAAGGAACTGCGGAGCTTCTGCCGGATCTCTTCTGGGGCTCCTGCTTGCTGTTAAGCTTGTAGTTGTTTAAACCAACAACTAGTCTTGTGGCACAGTTAAGTTTGGTCTTATGTTAAAACACTGTAGTATTGGAATAGATCTTGGTTTTGTTTGCTTTAGATTATTGCAGGTTACGTTGTTAACATTATTAACTAGATATCAAATGGGTGATGTAATGCAGTATTTATATTCTTAGGGGAAAAATCGAGTAGGTGCATAGGACTCCAGGCAACAGCTGCTGATATGGCTGGGTGCTTTCCCATGGATGTTATCAAGCGTTAGTCTGGGCTGTTTGTGAACTTCAGTGAAAGTCTCACGGAAAAGCTCTCTGGTTCCCCAGAGATTTGGCTTGCAGCACCCTCCTTTTCTCATCTGAGTCTCTCTGGAGCAGATTGCTAAGGTGCAGAGGAACTCAGGTTTGTCTTTACCGTTTCTTTTAAATCGCATCTTTGCATCCATGAGAACACCTAGCGTATTGTAGCCCGTCTTCTCTTGTGAGGCCGGGTCACCAGCTGGCAACGTCTGAACAGAAAGCACCTCCCCAGTGTGGGGGGTTGCATTTTCCAGGGCCTGTAGCAGCCTGCCAGGCAGCCGTGCTTGCTCCGTGTTCAGAAAACTGTTTTTTAGGGGCTGAGTTCAGCTGCCCTGGTGGTCCAGAGTGCTCTGTGCACGCCTGAGCCTTCCCCAATGCCCCTGAATGTGTAAGGGATTCAGTTATGATGTGTGGGGTAGTGGCCTCTCCTCGCTGGTAGCTCACAGGCTCCGTTGCAGCCCCTCTTGGCTCTTGTCGGATGTCACCGCTGGCACGGTGAGCTCTGCAGACGCGTGATGCTTCCCGCAGCTGTGTGCTGCGGCTTGGGAGTCCATGGCAGAGAGCAAAGAGCTACCCCAGTTTGTTCTTTTCATTTTGGC